TTACAATAGAAGTATATTTTCTTACATTCATACATGAAGTGCAGAGAAGTCGTGATTCAAATATATGAAATTCATTTTAGACAATCCCAGAATACAAGATCGAACTTTTTACACACAACAATAGGCAAACGGATTTTACGTTTTCTTTTCTTTTCCAAGTTTTTCTCCTTATTTTACCACGATTTACCAAAACAAAAAGCAGTTGGTTGCGATACGGTCACAGATCCAGGCGACGATAAATTTATAATGTTGGCATTTATGTAATCAAGAAAAAAAAAACATTATTGTAAATATTTTTTCTAGTTCTTCCAAATCGAAAATATTATCAGTATTAAATACAAAATTCAACTTTGGTTAAGTCAAAAAGTGTACGTGTGATCTGTAATAAAAAAAAATGCATTATAATTCTCGGTGTAACCTATAAAAATTTAGATGTTTTTTTTATTTTCACGATTTTTTTTAAATGCTTTAGATTGTATTACATACTTTTAACTTTTATTATAATGATCTTGCCTTTTGCATTTACTTTAGTTACGTATGATATGTTTGAAGTTTTCATTTTACCATCGTATTTATGTATATTATTATTATTATATTAAGGGTTTTGTTTGTTTTTTTTTAATTATTATTATTATGTCATTTAATAGAAGTAAAATGTTGTAAAAAGTAAGCTCGTTGTATTTTATCAAATAAACACTTTTTAGTCCAACTGAAGCAATAAAAGCGATTTTTATTTCCTTGACCACTTTTAACGTAAAGCCTAAGGCATTTTAAAATAATTACTCAAAAACCATAACATTGCATTTAAAATTTCAACTAAAATACTAAAATTTCGAAGTCGCCGTGGCCTAAATGATAAGATGTCCGGTGCATTCGTATCTAGCGATACAACCGTGTTCGAATCCCGCAAGCGGGTACCAATTTTTCTAATGAAATACGTACTTGACAAATGTTCACGATTGACTTCCACGGTGAAGAAATAACATCCAGCAACCGCTGTTACTAAGACCTCTTGAGATATAAGTTCTAATATCTCAAGATGGGTAACGCATTTACGTTGTAGATGTCTATGGGCTCCGGTAACCACTTAACACCAGGTGGGCTCGTGAACACTTCTAAGCACAAAAAAAAATATATGTAATATATATGATTATCGTAAATCGAGTGCGAGTTTATACTTTCAGAAATGATGTATCTATTAAAAAAATAGGTTTAACTAATTTTTGCTGTTCCGCAGACCACAATCACGATCATAATCATTATACTTAATATATTATGGCGATTGGGCAATTGGAACAATTGGGCGATTAACTGATGCTGTGCTTATTAAAATCTTAATGACAGCTGTCATTTAGTTCACGTTCATGAAAAGCCGCCCTTTTTGGCAATAAACATGCGAAAGACAATCAATCTCATAGCCACCTATCATCAATGGCTAGGTTCTTTGGTTATGGGCCGCAGCAGACGCATGAAGAGCTTTGTACCTATTGTAGGTAGAAAATTTTGTGAATCCACACGGATAGGTACCAATACCCTACCTATTTCTGCCGTAAAGCAGTAATGCATTTGAAGGGCGGGGCAGCCGTTGTACTGTTAAAAGTGAGATCTTAGAACTCATGTATCAAGGTGGGTGACGGCATTCACGTTGTAGATGTCTATGGGCTCCAGTAACCACTAAACAACAGGGGGCCGTGAGCTAATCCATCCACCCAAGCAATTAAAAAAAAACTTACGCATCTTAAAGAGAACTGGTTCGACTCAAATTTTATAAGTAATTAAAAGCGTTCTATCTACAGTAAAAGATATGCGATTAATTCAAAACGTAAAGTATAAAAGTAAATATTTAATTTATTGTAATACTAGCTGACCCGGCAAACGTTGTCTTGCCATATATAAGATTTCTAGAGAATTTCTAGTGTAGAAAAAAAATACTAACCTATTGGAAGTGTATAAGGATGTGGAATATGAGTGAAAAAGGCCTGGAGCGCTGTGAACGATGAGGGAATGTTGTTTAAAAATAACAAAACACCAAACATTAATTGTTTTAATTTATTAAAAGTAATAATTATATATCTATAATTAATTCATTACATAATATTGATCTCTTAATGCTGCAGCGTGAACAATATTTTTTGTTAGCCCGTCTTTAGCTAATACAAACAAACTTGATGGTTTACCCACTCGAGAGCATGCAACGTATAATTGTCCGTGTGAAAAACATGGTGCTCAAATCTAAGCCATAAACAGACATTGTTTGGCCTTGGGATTTATTAATCTAATCTAATCCTAAATTGAATACGCTTAAATTGAATTGGCACATCTGTGGGTATAATAGGTATTCGTGGTATCAATATATTTTCACCTCGAAACTTGCCATTTAAAATGGTGCCTTCGATAACTTTTTTCATTATTATTTGAATGACTAATCGCGTACCGTTGCATAGCCGTGGCGGGTTCAAATTACGAAGCAAAATAATTGGAGATCCAACCTTCAATTGTAAGTTGTGTAGTGGCATGCCTGGAAAATCCAGTGAGTTCAAAAACTCTGTTGGAAAATTTACAGCTTCAGTGTCATCGCAAACTGTATCAATAGATTTATATGATACCAAGTCCCCTGGCAATAACTGTGGTATCTTCAGATTTAAAATGTCAACGTCCACGTTTTTTGCAGCTAACATTGCTCTTTCTGCAAGCCACTCGAGATTTATGTAATTCGTGTGTACATTGGGAAATATTTGTTTATCTTGCGAATCAATGATAGTGCAGAAATCATTCGCTAATTTTATGTATCCAGTTTCAGCTATAGTGACTTTTCCATCGCCGATATCTAAGAGTTGTTTTGAGAATGTTTCAGCGGATGGATCTAAAGCATTTGTTCAGCTGTACTATTTCAACATTACGCCACAATGTCGATGAATTTAAGCAGGCGTTGATTTCATCAGCGTATGTTGAACGTGGAATGACGGGAAGTGTTTGTCTGAAGTCACCTGAAAGGACTAACAGAGTGCCACCAAATAGTTTGTCGTTGTTTTTAATATCTTTCAATGTCCTGTTCAACGCCTCAAGCGAATGTCTGTGTGCCATGGTATATTCATATTTTCCACTCTAAGCACCGCCATGTCACTGCCTTTATGGACATAATTGCAAATGTATTTGATGCTCTTCACAGAACTGCAGAACTCAACATTAATATGAGAATTGTATGTTTTGCTCAGCAGGGGCAAATATGGCATGACCCAACGATTGTCAATATCAATGTCTGTGTTGCTGATGTTTTTAATAAATGATTGTCCGCCATTATCTGGATTCCTTCGACGATATATTGGATATGCGTCGACATTTGTGATTGTATCGTTAGTGAAATCTTTAGGGATTTTTCTGTACATTTTCCATCTGACATGCAAGGCGATGAACTAAAAATGTTTAACTACTACGCTTGAAGCATAAACACTAATAATTTATAATAGCCGAAAACTGTAGAGGTAACATCCCTACTCCGTGCTGTTTACAGGGTGAGAAGTGACACGGGTAGACACATGGAGGGGATAACTTACCAAGTGACAATAATTGATGTTATCGAGCGGGATAGAAAATGATTAAATTACTAAAACGGCTATTAAAAAATAAGGGTTGATCGTAGAAGGGTGAAAATTGAGGATTGTATGTATTTTTGTATGTTGTATCATAAAAAAATAGAAATTCAAAATTTTGTCTAAAAAATAAATAAAATTTTTTTTGGGGTGGACTACCCCTAACATTTAGGGGGATGAAAAATTGATGTTGGCCGATTCTCATAGATACCGGATAAGCACAAAAAATTTCATCAAAATCGGTCAAGCCGTTTCGGAGGAGTATGGCAACGAAAACTGTGACACGAGAATTTTATATATTAGATTTTTCCTTGTGATTTCCTTGGGAATCGATTTCATTTAAAGCTTGCTTGTTTCATATTTTAATGGATAGTATAGAAGCTGAGTATAAAGTGAGGACTGTCTCAGTGTATTAAAAAGTGTCCGCTAAAAGGGAGCCAAGTAAGGTGGCGCCATTGTAGCAAGTGGAATTATTCCAAAAAAAAACCCCATAAACTATTAAAGTATGATATTAAATTAAGAAGAAAAGAAACACTTCTTACGTAAATAGTAATAAGTAAATAAAAGTTGAGATTTTAAATATTGCATATATATAACTACACAAGTTTTTTTTTTGCCTACCTATGCTGATAGCCTTGATAGGCTATTTCAGCTTCACCCTAACGTTTGTAGGTGAGCTCACGGGGCTCAACCGGAGAGTTGCTAACACTGACCCTAGCAAGAGCAGTGCTTCGCAGAATCTTCCACCGGATCGGAAACGCGACCCACTGAGAACATCCGGCGAGAAACTCAGTGGGCTGTGTCTATGGGTTAATTCGCTCGTCGAGCCCTTCGTCACAAGCGACGGGTTCGACGAGGACGGTGACCGGTATACAAGTCACGAAAAATTAGAGACTTTTGAACCCAGCATTCTTCACTCTGTTTAACGTTGCTATATTCCTCTCATTTCCATTTCCTACACTAGCGCTATTTGGGTAAGTTTTCCAACAATAACATGCTGATTACAGACACTTTTTCAACTTGTCCCTTATACGAAATACCTGACGTCTACCCTCTAAACACAAAAATTGTTTTATCAAATAATAAATACAGCGCCATCTAATCAAAATATATCTAAATTAGGTAATCTTTGCAAAGCAGCAATACGACAATAGATGGCAGCACATGAATTATGTGTTTGCCTTGTATATTCAATGATAATAGCGTGAGAATAAACTCCGGTCGCACTTCGAAACTGACGCGCAATTTTAAGCTTTTACAGCTATACTGAGACCTTAGAACTCATGTCTCGAGGTAGGTGGCAGCATTTACGTTCTAGATGTAAATGGGCTCCAATAACCACTTAACAACACCAGGCGGGCCGTGAGCTCGTCCACCCATCTAAGCAATAAAAAAAAAAGACATCAAAAGCCTCGTTACAATTAATTAAGTTTATTCTCTAATCTAGTAAGAGGCACATCAAGAAGTCCTCTTAATTAATTTCGCGATGCGCTCCTTGTTCTTGTAAACACACAAATCCATAAAAGTCAAACTAAGTAACAGACAATGTCCCAACATGTCCTTCTGTAGTTCGTTCTGTGTCCTGAACATGTTTTTCACTTCCTCCGGCACGTAGACGTGTTTGTTGCCTGTTGATTTACCACTGCTCTCCTGAAGTAACATTTCGACGGTTTGATCAGTCGACACTCTTTCGTTTCCAACTAAAGTTCCGTGTAACCTGTGAAACCGTAACAACAGTCGGTTTAAATATATCCAGACGGTATAAGACCTGTTCTTGAGGGTGTTATCTCGTGATAGTAAAATGTGGGATAGATTTCGTGCGGGAATCCAATGCGCTCTGGATACATACAGTATACGATGCCATACACACCGCCGAGAAAAGAGGAAGATGGCGAAACATCATCCCGAGAAGGATAATGGGAGGAGATGGTCGACGAATGCGACTCAGGGAGGAGGAGTACAATGTCAGAGACCTTCCTGGCACTGTAAATTTTAATTTTCGCGAGCATATATATCACGTATAACCCAAAAATATTTTTACCTAATAAAGTTAGATTGAACATGATTTATTTTTTCCTACTTATTCCAGTCACCTCGATTGGTCATACTAGATACGCTCTAACAAGAGCAGTGCTTCGCAGAATCTGGATCGGAATTGCGACCCACTGAGAAGATCCGGCGAGAAACTCAATGGACTGTGTGTGAGTGTAATGAAAATGAATCAACTTTTGTCGCTACTGTCGTAAATAGTATAACAGTAGCGACGAAAGATGGCACTACCGAGCTAAAATGGTGTGTAGTAGTGATAAAAGATGGCACCACTGTATTAAAATGGTGAAAATGGTTGCAATCCAAAAAAATTATAAATTCATTTAATTTTACTCTTTACAGTCAATACAATACGACTTCAGTACAATACGACTGCAAATAGTAAAATTGTCGTTAGATGAAATTAAAACTATCTTTATAGAGCTTATGTATTTTGTTTAAAGGGAGATAGATATTAACCGGGCTCAGTCGACTTGGTGCGAGTTTTTTAACTTCTTGATCGCGTAAAATTTAACTCAAATTTGTATGGAGTTAAAAGAGCGCCCCTAACGGCAAGCGAAGGGAAGTTAAAAAACTCGAACTAAGCAAACTGATATTCAAATGGTCTAAAATCTGTATATAGCTTACCTGTAGGGTAATGTGGGCCTCAAAAAATAAACAATCTGTTTCAATTTACCATCGTCATCGTCACTTCTGAAAAAAAAAACAAACACTTTAATATTAGGTGATAGCCAATTAATAAGCCAATTTAATTTTATATACCTAATAAATTAGGTAGGACAAACTCAATCACAAACTCAAACCCGCAAAATTATAATTTGCGTAATCACTGGTGGTAGGACCTCTTGTGAGTCCGCACGGGTAGGTACCACCACCCCGCCTATTTCTGCCGTGAAGCAGTAATGCGTTTCGGTTTGAAGGGTGGGGCAACCGTTGTAACTATACTGAGACTTTAGAACTTATATCTCAAGATGGGTGACGCATTTACATTGTGGATGTCTATGGGCTCCAGTAGCCACTTAACACCGGGTGGGCTGTGAGCTCGTCCAACCATATAAGCAATAAAAAAAATCGTTAAATATTTTATAACAGCACCATCTAACGGCACACAGCCTAACTAAAACCAACCTGTGTCCTCGTGCGTTAATCAATGCAACAATCATAGAGACCATTTGAGCTTTCTGAAGATTTACAGCCAATACTTTAGGATTGTTCGGATCGCTACCGGCCGCTCGCAAAGTGGTAGCTTCAGCTTTCATCACATAAATGTCAGCGACCGGTAACCGCTGCGTTATACGCCATGCCTGAAAACAATGATTGTATTTTATTTTAATTTTTTTTATTGCTTCGATAGGTGGATGAGCTCACACCTGGTGCGAAGTGGTTACCGGAGCCCATAGACATCTGCAATGCCGCTACCTACCTTGAGACATGAGTTCTAAGATATTCGTATAATACAACGGCGGCCCCACCCTTCAAACCGAAACGCATTATTGCTTCACGGCAAAAATAGGTAAGGCGGTCGTATCTACCCGTGAGGATTCACAAGGCTTGCTACCACGAGTAATTATGGAAATTATAATTTTGCGGGTTAATTTTTATTACATGATGATATTCCTTCACGTGTGAAACTCACTCGTGAACATTTGTTAGGTAAGCATTTCATTAGAAAAATTGGTACCTGCCGGCGGGATTCTCACACCGGTGCATCGCAAGATACGAATGCAGCGTGCGTCTTATCCTTTAAGCCACGACGACTTCTTTACTGTATTAATTTAGTCTTTTTTTTTTGCAGGAACACAGTTGTCTTAAATCTAAAATCCCATACTAGATAAGGAGCGGCTTGGCTGTACCCCTGAGATACTTAATGTCCATGAGCCACGATAACCACTCACCGTCAGGTAGGCCGTGTGCTTGCCTGCCTACTACGGGAAGTAAAAAAATTTACCAAGAATATTGAAATGGTGCCATCTATTTGACATTAAAAGTATCAATTATACATTAAAATTAGTGATTGTACAGTTAACTTGGCGTCGCTCTGCGGAACAGGAGCTGGGTGTCTTGGGCATGACGTGGGAGAAGCTAGAACAGGCTGCCTGAGACCGATGTAAATGGAAGGATTTGATTCGAGCCCTACATCCCAGCAGTGAGGTGATTTTTCATGCTTAAAAGTTTACCTCATTTTTTACACAATATATCTAAGCAGCTACATACTCACTTTAAATATTAATTACAACATGTGAAACTAATGTAACCCTATAAAAAAAAGGGTTTTTTATAAATTGTACCACCAATTTTGTATGTAAGAAAAAAGGTCTTACTAATTAAAATTGTTCAGAAGTGTATCAACAATTTATCAAAATAATTTTTTTTATACTTAAATTATCAGTTTAATTTTATTACTTAATTACCTTTTTATTGCACACTACACTTTTTAATTAATAGCTAATCTAAATACATAGTTAATTGTACTTACAATATCAAATATATCTGTGATCTGAATCTTCTTTCCTTCGGGGTAATCAATACCATAATACTGCCACTCCACAACTTCATAATAATTTTTGTTTATAAGCGTCCAACAAACTGAATTAACAGATATATATACTGTCAATACTGTTTTACAGTCCTGAAAGTCAATGTTATTATAACTTAGAAATGTTTGTTTACAAATAACTGATTCAAAACACACATATGAGTCTACCTAATTATGAAGAGTATTTTAGACCATCACAGGTAGGTGATGGTAACACACTTTCTCTGCTACAAAAAGGCATGCATTCAGACTTTAATATTTTATCTTAATTTTCTCATTAGACATAGAGCATATTGCCAAAAAAACCAAGATGAAGCTGCCCAAAGACCCAAAGTAGAGGGCCGACTTTCTGAAGAAGTTGGGTTGTTATTTATATGAGCTCTCCTACTGACAATTAGAAAAAGTGTAATTTCAAGGTGTCTTTAGTGAGGAATTATCTGTGAATGGTAAATTTTATGAAATACACACTGGCGCAAATGAGTTCGAACACGAAGGAATATGATTGTTTAACAAAAAAATTATACCCAAAAATTATAATTTGCATAATTTCTAGCAGTAACCTATTTGTTGTAAAAAAAACACATACGACTGTGAGAGAGGATTTGCGAGAGACACAATACCACACACCACCACTATATATTATTGATCTAAATAGTCACTTTAATTACAAATCTTACATAGAAAACAATTCAACATTTCATTAGAATAACATAGCTACTCACTTTAATAGTACTTTCTTTCAAATTTGGATGTAATATTTGACCTTTTATTTTATTTGATATTTGTTCAACTTCTTCAGTGGGTCCATTTAATATACTGTCACAGAGTTTCTTAGCTGTCTTGTCTGTGAAACCTTCTATTAAAGATAAATCAGATAGGGTATTCACTTGACCATTGCTTGTTTTCCATTGTTTAAACTTTTTTAATCTTGACTTTGCTATATCAAACCTAAAATTTAAATAATTATTTAAAAAAGACAATTAAAAGCTAAGTTTCACTGAACTCAGTCCCAAAAGCAGTTCACATGGAATGTGGAAAATTATTAATTTCAAATTATTTGATTTATTTATTTTTAAATGACATCACTCATAATTTTATTTTTCTGTCTTCTTTGTATTAGGTCTATATTAGAATTTTGATTATAAATGTTTTCAAAGATTGACTTAACTTATTTAACAAATACCTTGACAATGTTTGAGAATCATCATTAATTACATTTAGTATTTTCACTTTTTGACTTTCCGAGTATTTACTTTCCAAGTTTTGATAACAACATCGCGAACCACTTATTGACCTACAGTTCAAAATATTTTGTTGCTGAAAGTAATTAATAAATTGTACCATTGTAACCAAGATGTATCAAAAATGTGGTTATAGGTTGCACGTATTTACTAACCGCAACACGCGGTAGAATCATCAACACATTCAAATACATGCTTGTACTTTATAGATGTTAATGATATATGTTAGTAAAGCAAAAACATTCGTTGGATTTGTAAAAAAACTTCAAAACATTCGAACTAACAACATTAGATGTTCATCCTCTGCTTTGAAGTTTGATTTGAACGTGATATTACTCGATAAATATTAGTGTATAATCTATGTTTTGTTGAAGGCACTTGAGTAACTTGAGTTACATACAATTACGATTAATGATTATGTAAATTATGAATAGGAGATATAAGCCATAAAAGACTACTACTACTACTAGGTTCAGTTTATTGAATTTATTGTCTCTCTGATTGCACTGGTGACCTATGTTATTAAAAAATATAAACAGTATATTTTGCATAATCTGTATTTAGACTATAAGAAAAACATTTCGAAAATCATACGTTTTGTAACTGTATGAGGTAAAAAATACTTTAAACTGCACACCTACATACCTATTTCCATCTATATTAATTATTATTACAGGCCACTTTACAGCTGTACAATCATCAAGTTTGAAAGAACCCAAGCAAAACAAGGTCTAAGCCGTAATTTCTGAGAGTATGAATACAATCTTAATCAAAATTGAATAATTAAAAGAGTGAACAAATTGGCCAAAGAAACTCTTTTTTACGCTTAAAAACTCCACTTGCTACTTTGTTTCGGCTTTGTCTTTGAGCATTATTTTATTGTAAACAGGGAGTGATTATGTTATTGTTTTCCGTGAACAGTGCCATCTATTGAGAAGCTTTTGAACTTCGAAACACAAAAATTAAAAAAAAATCTTTAAATTTCTTCGTTCGAAAACAGCTTAATTTAAATTTTAGTCTCCCAAAAGGTGTCGCTGACAAATCAACATGATGCATTTCCTTAAAATTTTGCCTTCAACAAATTAATTTGGAATTACAGTTCAATGTTCAATCTAAATAATGTTGCTTTGTCAAAATCGGGTCCAGGCTACAAATTACAATAGTAGATTTTATAGTCATAGGTGAGTAGAATGAAATAATTGTTATTGTTAGTTACCTATTCAGTATTATCTTAAAATAAGTTAAAAATTTGGTTGTCATATTTATTCATAGTGTAAATCTTATAATCATCACGGTCAGCCCAATTTAAGTTTTTTCATCGATTGAAGCCAAACTTATGATGCTAATAATTTAAACCACTAGAGAAAAAGCTCAGATACAAATAACTTCAAGCTGTGGATAATGATGGCATGGAGAAATTCAGCATCAATATTTTTTTATATGCACAATGAAATTTCATGTATTCACGTTTTGATACGATGTAGTGTGAGTGAAGAAGGCCGATTTTAAAATTGCAAATTAATTATCCGATCCGACATAACATGTTTATATATCCCTTTCTCTCTCTTACACTACTATTAAAAATGACCAAATAGGCGTCAACTTACAAATAATTATTGAGTAAAAATCAAGTCAAAAGAAAGTTGATACGCGTCACCGAGTGCCTTCTGTTGCGCGCCAGAAACAGGCCGAATGTGTTTCATAAACCCAAACTAAAACACCAGACTATGAATAAGACCAGGTACTATACTGAAGTGAAATTTATTGAAAAAATATTTAAAATTCAGTACATTTTGAAAAAAATTAAATTCAGGAAGTATATGTAATATTTTAATAGTTTGTTAGGTAATAAATTTATTTTTGAAATGTAACTAAATAAAAACCCTACTTCCGGCATCTGTCACAGTTCCTGTTAAGTAACCTAAAAACGTATTTTAGTTTTTTTAGATTTAGAGAGAAAAATGTCAAAATCAAGTCATTTTAAAATACTATATTAATCCCTGATTCATTCATTTCACTTCGTAGCTTTACCTTTTTACTAATTTAAGCCGACCTTAGTCGACAAAAAGCAATAGAACATGTTGAAAAGTATATAGTGCTGTCCTTTTCATTCTCGCGATGCGTAAACAGCAAATCTTGTTAACAAAATGGCGGACACTCCCTTTAGAAGCGGCAGCGCGTACACGGTTACCCGTGCTTGCTAGATACTAGATTTCAAATAAATGACTTGTTCTTTGTCTATATCAGTTACATTTAAAAGTTAATTTTCTGGTACTCTTGGTGGACCTCCATCATTTTGAAGATCGGTAAGTTTCTTAACAAGTCCTTCTATTGTAGGCGTTCTTTGAAGAATACATCGTCATGGACTAACTTGCATTCCCGACCAACACCTAGCGTAACTATTCGTAATCAGCTAAGTTCAATTTTACTGCTAGAGTACTAGGTGTAATAAACAATGTACTAGTCTGGCAAGTGGCAGCGCTATCAATTTGCCAGCACGCACACAAAGATAAAACATGAACTGGTACTCTTTGTACTATAGCTAGATGCCGTAACGGTGTGGCAACGTCGCGTTTCAATAAGCGTGCGCCGTTGCCGCGTGCCAAGCGACTAGCTATACTTTGCCATACTTCGCGTAAACCTAAAGTATGTACCTACTTATACTAAATATCGTTTCATTAAAAGTAGGTAACAAAAAAAAACACGCAACTGTTACTTGACATCACATTTAAAGGCTTATTGGTAAGCTCCTTTTAAATGGCAGCAGTTCCATATTCTGGACTGATAATCTTCTGTGTAAGAATAGTAAGATAAAAAAGAGCAATTCAATCACATTGAAAGCATGCGTTTGGCATACTTGTTATAAACAGACATTATTCGCGTATTCTATGCAACTTCAATTTATCTATCTATCTTCTATCTATCTATCTATATATTATATAAAAATGAATTGCTGTTTGTTGGTCTCGCTAAAACTCGAGAATGGCTGGACCGATTTGGCTAATTTTGGTCTTAAATTATTTGTGGAAGTCCAGAGAAGGTTTAAAAGGTAGATAAATATGAAAATGCTCGGAATTAAATAAAAATAACACTTTTGTTTTTCCTTTGATGTGCCCCCCGTCGGACGGATTCCTTTTGTTTGTTTTAAGTTTATTTTATACAAAAGTCTTTTATTTATCGATTGAGGCACTACGAAGTCTGCCGGGTCAGGTAGTTACATACAAAAATAGGGGAAGATTTTTTTCTTTTTCCTTATTTATGCATCCATTTATTTATTTATTAATACTCCATTGTATGCTTTCGCTTTATACTTCTTATGGTTATTATTTAGGTATTTAAGAAATGATTACGGTAATATGAAAATCTTTAATATTGAATTTAGAAAAAAGCTTATTAATAGCATTTAGATGTCTTTCAATAATGCTATTATTACTCGTATGAACCAGTTTTTAGAAGCGTTTTGCATGAATTTGTCAAGATCATGGCTACACCAGAATATTGGTTTTCTCTCTCTTTCGCACTCGTTAACTTTTTACATATTCGTCTCTCTTATATTTTTTTAGGTTATAGAATGAATAGTGTGTACATTTTGTTTTTTTAAAAACATTCGGAGCAGCGACTTATGTGATTGCAGTTCCTTCATGTCTGTTTTCCTAATATGGAGATTTCTAAATATGCCATATTATTTCTTTTGGTTTTATGATAACTATTTTGCCAATAACATTTTTTTAATCGATATTCCCATACGATATCCCAAAACACGGACCATTTGGTTTGAAGTTACATACGCGCACAAATTAAATGCTGTGCACCTTTGTAATTCAGATGAAATTTTTAATACCTACCTATGCATTTATTTTGGTTTCCCATATAACGTCTATGACATTCTTCAAGCCAGACCGCTCGAGTTTTTNAACTATTTTGCCAATAACATTTTTTTAATCGATATTCCCATACGATATCCCAAAACACGGACCATTTGGTTTGAAGTTACATACGCGCACAAATTAAATGCTGTGCACCTTTGTAATTCAGATGAAATTTTTAATACCTACCTATGCATTTATTTTGGTTTCCCATATAACGTCTATGACATTCTTCAAGCCAGACCGCTCGAGTTTTTCGTGGCAGAAAAGGCAGAACGGTACACCAACCTACTCCAGCGAGCTGCTACGCGCACTATAACTATCATAACACAGCAGTTATACCAGTAAATTTTATATCTGCGTTTCATCAAAACTTATTAATTACTATTATTTTTCGTAAGACTTAAAACAACTAAGAGCCATCCTTAATCCTATTATAAGGAATATTCTGAACTATAATTAACTAATAATTAGTAATTTTTTTTTAAAACAAATGATGTAGCATTATAGTATCTTTTATAGATTTCTTTTCCACTTTTTTTCCTACTGCTAGCTAGCTGGTGGTAGCTTAATTCTAGGTTCACGCGGACGGGTAGGTGAGTTCACAGGTTCAACCTCAGAGAATAACACTAGCCGTAGTTAAGATCAGTGCTTCGCAGAATCTTCAACCGTGTCGGAATTGCGACCCACTGAGAAGATCTGGCGAGAAACTCAGTGAGCTGTGTCTATGGGTTAGTTCGCTCGTCGATGTGGACGGTGACCGGTGCTTAAGGTGGATCCGGAAGATCCGACAAGACATGTTTCGGGCGACTGCGGATTTGCATTGCCCTGTCGCCTAGGTCAGATATAGATATATAAATAACGGCGGCCAAGATAAGAGGATTAATTTTGTTGTTGTTATTCCTAAAACCAAAAAAGGCCTACCATTCCAGTCATTAGACGTGTATTAATTAGGCCTTGCCTAAAAATTGCTTCAAAGAGGCAATGTAATGCGCATTAATCAGCTTTCTCATTTATTACGTATTCCTCTGCTCTGCAGTGCAGCCCAGGCTCTACGTTGATGTTAGGAGTTAGTTACAGAGAACAGTTATAGTTATGAAATAAAAAGGATCAAGCATCTGATCGTGTCCATCGTGACCAAGGACGACGCAACTCGTTTATTTTTGACGCGTTTGACGATAAACTTAATTTGGCTCAGAAATATTAAACATAATAATATTATGTACCCATTCTTTTTTATGCTTCTGTCACATATGTATCATTAAACAACTTATTCTGTCAAAATCAGCGGCTGTCACATGCCTTTAGTGTTCTAGATAACTTTATCTTAGTATGCCCTACAATATCTATAACAGAACCAATAAGAAGTGAAATGAAATGTAATTAATGAAAACTAAAATTTTAATATTACAAATTCATACGTCAGCAGTATTCAATTGGATAATTTTCATTTTTTTAACTATTATTAAAAAAAAAATTAATAATTCTATTTACCCTCCAAAACTCCAGGATTTTTTTCCGATTTATCGGGACGTGTGGATTATTCAAGGGTTTTCAGTCGTTTTTTTTAATTTCTGCATCCATTTGGGGACTTCAAATCCAACATTCGGGCGTCTTATAATGTAGTATTAGAACAACTCACTGCCGAATAATCGGTCATTCTTTCTAATTCAATAATGATGTGACCAGATTAGGTGCAGGATGATAAGTCCCATTCACCATCGATCGCGTCATCATCGCCGTCATTACTAAGTTCTTAATATTCATAATATGACTGTGCTCTCAAAAAAGCAACTAAAATAAGCGGGATCTTCTAGGTTCTGCTTAATATAGCATATTTTGATATTTTTATAGGTAGTGAAGTGTGTAGTGAAGTGGATTTCTTACGTAGACGCTCGATGAATTCCGTTCGGGAAAAGTCGTGCGCTTTCGGCATCGAGCCGACACGTTGTACGGAGCGGCAACGTCGCATGTTCCCATTTAGCGCACTGTATAGTTTTGCCATTGGCTTTATGTAGGTATGTATGAGCTGCTTGTTTAAACTTCTCTTTCGTAATGTAAGGGTATTCGTACAATTTAAGATCTATTGATGGATTCAGTTCGTTCTAGATGAGAATGCCCATACTTGCAGCTTTAAATGAAGAAAGTCGAAGAAAGTAATAACCAAAATCATTGACGTAAAAATATGTATAATATAATAAGTAATTATGCAAGTTAAATAAGATTAATTGTATATGAAATTTTTTATTAAACTACCTAAATGCTCTGGTTAAATTATGTTTGAATCTCTCAAGCAGACAAATATTAAAATAGGTACTAACTTATTTAACTAATCATGTTGATTATTCTTACGGCGCCGACACGACGCAACTGTTTGACAATTTGCTGCATCGTGAATAAGGCAGAAGTAGAGTAGAAGTTCGTATTCTAACAAGAGAACGACACTCAATGACGTCACAACGTGACCTCCCTAAACTACTTGTACACAGAGTAACGTGAACGACAGAGAATCGGATTCAATAAAATGTACACGTTTATTCCTGTCGCTTTCGCTCGCGCACGCCTTGTAATCTAACGCGCTCTGTTGCTATTTGGGTTTCGTATTTTTTCAACTCTCTGTATCCGCGAGTAGTCTGTGTGTTTTGTTCGGTTGCCATTCGTTAACTCTGTCGGAGTACTTCGGGTCTACCGTTTTCTTTCTTCTATCTCTTTCTCTCTGCCAGTACCATTTCGACCGTGCTTATGAGCAGTCGTTTCGCCGTTCGTTATCAGTCTTCTCTTCTCTTCTTCTTCTGCACTTCAATTTGTTAATAGGTAGGTGTTGCAAACATTGAACAATGTTTATTGATAATATTTTGGTATTATATTTTACTGAAATGTAGATACCGTCTCAAATTTTACTGTTTTATAATTATTATTATTATCTATTTTTGTTTGCAAGTAGGTAGTTTTCTTTAATAAATTGTTTGAATGTAGTTAGTGATACTAACCGTTTTAACAGTATTCGTTGATTGAGTATTTTAAACCGGTTGAAGACGTTACAATTCAAAGCATTATTTTTATTTTTTCTTGTAAATATTTTTAGGTTATGTGGGTTGTTGACTTGTTTTACGCTATGTTCAACCTTAAGTCTTCACTCTAGTTCATTAAACCTATATTCGCTTGACACGCTGTACTGACAGATGTCACACGTCACTAATCAAAGAGAAGTCTATTATTTTGAAAATTGAGGTTGAATACGAACACTATAAAACAATAGAGATTGTTTAATTATTTTTTAAATTAAATTACGTGTTTGAAAAAAAAAATACATTTCCTTCGCGTGAAAATAAAAAGATGCGTTAGAAAGATAATCTCGTAATAAATGAAGGTCACATAATTATTTGATTAAAATTCGCGACTTTGCTTTCAACTACCGAACCCTTAAACACCCATCGAGCGTCACTCTTATTTTTTGTAAATCTTTAACTTTACGTACCCTTTTTATTTGCATTTTTTGTTCTTATAACAAACATCTTATTTGTCAACAAAGTTTTAACAAATCAAATTACCTCCATCATTAATATTAGTAATTTGTGTGGTCTAACGGCAGTGCCAAGGCCGTACTTCCCAATAGACGATTTAAAAAAAAAATGCTTGTGAACCAACCCACATTGCCTTTACACTGCCTAAAAATGCCACTCTTTCTGATTTTCCCTTCACTTTTTTGACAACGGAAGGTTTATTGCGCTATCTTGGTCGACTTTATTTTATCAGCATGTAGTTGGAAAGAGATAGCTGCAGTCGTGTTTGTCGAGTTCAGCTCACGACGTTGTAGTTGTATCCAGATATGTTGTGAAGCGAACAGAATGGCGGCCATTTTGTTGATTTCTCATTTCGTGACTAGGGACTTATTTGAATTTTGTTTATTCGCTCATAGACTAGAATGTGTGATAACGTGTTATTTCGCGTAAATGCCGAGTAAAATTTTACTTTTCGAATTTTTTTTTAAAGTTTGGGTGGGCTTGTAGTCCAGCTAATAAAATGAATATTGAAGCCGCCGCAATATGAATAACGCGGGCATTTTGAGAAAAGTACAAGTCTCTTATGTAATATTTAGTCGTATCATTAAGTACACAAATGAAAAAATTGGTACTTATCTCAAAGTCGGAACCACGGAATATTCTTACAGCAGTTAAAAAATAATCGATACGAAGTAGACTGAACGTCACCTATTATTCCCACAGGCATTTAGCAATTGAGACCTCAAATCATTGACAACAGTATAAATTCAATATTTTTGTATACATCATGATCTATTACCAAATCCTTCAATCCCTATAAAATTCAAAAAGTATCATTTTCGGAGCTAAAATTGCATATTACGTAAGGTGACAATAGCGGAACCGGTACAGCGCCATCTATTGGTAATCGATGTGAACTTTTAATTTTTTTTGCTTACAGACAAGATTTTGAGGCGTCTATGGCCTTAAAGTCATCTTGTCTATTTTTATTGACAATCTTTTTCTTGTCGATTTAGTGCTATAGGGCACGATACTATTGAAAATTTAACGTTTTGTCTCGAGGTGGGTGGCGGCAATCACTGTGATTTTCTGATTGCCCTCGATTGTAGATACTTACCGCACACTTATTGATAACTGATGATCGTCACTCATAGACATTCGCAAAGCCTGAGTTGTAGCCAGGACTCTGCCAACCATCGTTACAGTCTGATGTTTACCAAAAACCATTTGATCTATGAGATCATCGTCAATCCACCAAAAGAAAACCGTCAAGTAGTCGTTTGGCACAAGGCAAAAAACATTGTTTGCGTGTGTAGTTCCACTTCTCTATAGACTCCTAAAGATAGCTAACACTAAATAATCAGCTATTTACAACTTTGAGAAAATCCTGTAAATGCTTATCTTGAAATATCATTAATATGATAAACAAAAATTGTAACGTTTCATTTCACCTTTATTATTTTCCATTTCCCATGAATATTTAGATGTGCGATCGTCAAAAATACCAAAGCAAAAAAATAGTAAATTCCATTTGAAGTATTCACTGTGCTAGAATCGTTATACTGCCATCTGTTGAGATTTTAGCTAAACTACATGCGTTTTTATACCAATCTCTACCCCGAAACCGCTATACGTTCTAGTTGGGAAAACCGTTATACGATAAAATTAATATTTTGACCACATATTTCTGAAGGTGGTCGACGGAACTTACCTTATGATCTCTACCGGCTTTGGTAACCATTCAACATGACGTAGGCCGTGATTTCATTACTATGCATTAAAAAAGGTTTCAGCAGTCTGGCTTGGTTGTCAATAATTTTGGACAAGTTATTTTATACGTATCGATTAACGTTATCTGTCATTCGGTTCCTATCTTATTGCCGTTATATTATAAAAGGCCGGGCAGAAAAATCAGGCTCTTTAACCCTTAAAGATCGTTATTGTCTTATACAACATTGCAACAGCCCTTTTAGTACTTCATCAGCCTTTTCACTACCCTAAACACTAATAAACTAGATTGATTCAGGTGTCCCATTCCAACTTGTTGACATCAGTATTAAACCCAATTTGACCCTATAGGCCATTAGCTAGGCGGAAAAGCAGTCTGGTGAACAATACATTGTTCTACTATCCTATTTCTCTAGATTATTAGATGCGTAATTATTGACGGCGTTTATTTCTGTTTCGAAAACGGAAACATACTTGAACACTACAATACTTTTTGCAGTATAGTGAGTACCAATTCCGATCCTTAAACCTTCAGAATTTACATGGAATGTCGATAGAATACAATTATTATAACTTTGACATACTATTGGTATAAATCTGTAAACAATCAGTTTTTTACAATTTCTTTACGGAACCCTAAAAAGCCAAACTTGGAAAAAAAAGTAAACGTTTCAGTCATGGTAAACGCCTGTTCCTAATAGTATAAATCAAAACATGGCTTTACAGCGCTCTACGAATGCACATGCTAATTACAAAACCGTGCGCAAAGGAATTTTGCGTTCATAAAATGATCTCCAGTTTTGAAAAGGAGTTAGTGTAAAAAATGCGCTGTTGGTGTACATGCAAATTTCTAATGGTTCAGTTTTGTGAGCTCTCGTTTTAAAATATTGAGTATTTTGATTTTTACTGCCAATTAAAAAGAAATTCGATAAATGCCAATTAAAACAAAAGTGTAACGATCAAATAATAAGGTATTATATAGGAAAAGCCGATGCTCCTGAGGTCTAAAAATATAGATCTCTTTTGCAGTTATTTTCTCATTTTTCATTTTAGAACTGTCACTCACAGCGAGCGTAACCGTTATTTTAATACTAGCCCTAGTAAGAGCAGAACTTCGCAGAATGTACCACCGGATCGCAATCGCGACCCACTGAGAAGATCCGGCGAGAAGTTCAGTAGGTTCTGTCTATGGGTTAGTTCGCTCGCCGAACTCTTCGCCGTGATCGACGAGGACAGTGACCGGGCGTAGCCATTATAACAATCGCACTTACATTTAGCATATGATCTAGAGTATTTTTACGATTAATGTCAACGTAAAGCTACATTTTTGGCTCAACATTTTTTCCATCTAGATGCAAAAATTCATTCATGTTTGTTTTACTGACACATTTTTTACAAGTCTTCGAAGTCATCGATCAGCACAGGCTATTTTAAGCTTTAACACAAATTAACATTAGTATTTTGTAGATATGGCATACATAACGGGACTTTGACAAGATGCGATCGGTTTGATTATGTACTGATTACACGAAAGTTAACTTTTCGTGGTACATTACTTTGAAATGATACAGAATACTCGCTACGCCAATGGCCGCTGGCGACCCGTGGGGGTAGGGTGGCGGGGACAGATGAGCTCTGCGCTAAACGCGTCACTTTGCTCCCCGCTTGCCTCTTTTAAGATACGGGGTTTCAGTCAGTTCAACTCTGACAAGCCCCGCCTACTGCCCCCCCAACGCGTTGGCGGAAGTCTGGCGATTCCCTTTTGACCCAAAAAAGGTCATCTGAGAAATGATTTTCAGTTGTCGTCCAGGTTTTCTTTAATTTATTTCATAGAAACAGTTTGAATGTCATTAACGCTTGATTTGAAGATAGCATCTGGGGAGTTCTGTTTTTACTGACGGTATTTCCAATATTTCCAATCAATTAAGACTACCTTAAGCTAAGAGGCAGCTTCATGTTTTAGTAATTATGGACTTTGGAAACTGGTCCACGTGAGAAAAACGACAATAACAAAATGGAGGATATTGCTTTTAACTTACGCTTAAAATTGTCTTTAAAATGTATATTTTTCTGTTCCAGTGGCTCGTCGATTTTTTAATATAAATACTAAAGAAATGAAAAACAATGCAATTAGTCGTTGAATGTCAATCTCCAGATATAAAGGCAGACATGTCAGCCCTTGAAGATATACTTGATACAAAATTGTCATCGAATACATTTATTGAAGATCTCAAGACCAACAAGAGCCATCAAGGTAATAAAGAAAATATTTTTGAAGATAATTGCGCTGTTGTTAATGGTAAAGCGAGTATACCGGATACAATTGATGCGAGTGCAAATACAAATTGCATAGTACCTCACGATGAATTAGAAAATTCAGATTTAGACGAGAAACTGACAGAAAATGACACTGAAGTATCAAAAGGTAATCATACTAGTGATCTGTTGCTGGAATCGGATCAAGCCCAAGAAATTGAACAAAAAAACGACAAAGATTCAGCTGAAACACATAAATGCAATTCGGACGATATTATTTTATTAAACAAGAATCCCGAAATCAAAGTTAGTAGTGAATTTTCGATCGGTCCTAAAGTCTCTGCTGAAGAAGATATAAAAATATCTCAAAATGCTCCCGATCCTGTTGAACGAATAGATGACAAAGATGAGTGTCAGCAACAAGAAAATCCCGAAAAGGTACACAAAGGGTCGAATATAGAACTTAATAAATCTGTTTCTGATCATATTCAAAGTATTAATGAATATAGCGAAATTGCTGTACCTATCAAGAAAGATGAGGTATTAACTATGGAAGTGGTCGATCATGATTCCACTAATATTGTAATAAACAGTGCAGATACTGTTGTTATTGTTCAAGACGATGTAAAAGACAAATCAGAATCAACGGCTCAAAATACTACCGATTCTTGTGACGGAATAGACAACAAAGAAGATAACAGCAAAAAAACCCCTGATAAGGTATGCAGCGATTCTGATAATGAAAACACCATTGAGAAGCGCGAAAAGATGGAAGAAGAAGAAAATATAACTTTAGAGGTAATCGATGTAGATAAAGATGAAAAAAACGCTATAGATACTGTTGATCTTCAAAACGAATTATGTAAAGAAACACAGTCGAGTAATGCAGTATTTTGCAGTGAAACTGAAATACAACCTGTTGAGATTCCCATCGTATCACAAAACGCAAACAGCTTCAGCTCTCCAAATCAGGCAATGGAAGTCGACACTTCACCAGCACTGAAACCTCCGGAAACTTCGATTTCAAATGTACATATTGTGGATCTAGATGAAGTTACGGATAGCACAACCAACAGTCAAACAGCAGATAAATCTGAAGCTTTAGCTGAAATACAAAAAGAGCCGGTAAAAAAGGTTTGCAGACTCTCGAATACGCTAGATATACTCTCAGATGAAGAAGATGAATTAGCCAATACAAAAAATACACCTGAAGTAGTAATAAATGAGAAACCTGTAGAAAAACATTGTATTAATATAGAAGATGATGATGATATAATGGTTATAGAAGATACCAAAGAAGCAAACAGGGAAATGTTGACAAACAAATCTGACACAACAGCTGATGGAACAAAAGAAATAACTGTAGAAGTTACCGTTGAAAACGGAGAGCAGAAATCAAATTTTATGGAGTCAATTGAGTTGTCGTGCAACAAAGTCACAAAAGGCGATGGTCAGTAATCAAATCTATTTATTAACCTAATTTTAATATCGAGCATAGGCATAACAATAATGCAACCACTGCAATGCTATTAAAATGTATTGTTACAATAACGTGTATTGTACCACTAAAACTTGCATTTCTATTTTGTTTCCAGATTCCGAACATTCCAAACCAGACGAAACCCTCAAAGTTAAAAGTCCCGAAAAGCTATTCAAAGGTCCCGATGAAACAAAACTAGAAAAAATCACAGATAAACCTTTAGTACCCACAGATTTCCTAAAAACATCCAAGAAAACTTTGGCCAGCATGACTAGAGAGGAGCTCGAGGAATTTTGTATTTTAAAAATAGTGGAAAGTGTCGTTGATAGAATTAATCTCGCAGACACGCAATCTAATCTGAAAACATTAGCACAAAGTCTGGATGACTATGAGAAGAAGACTAAAATGCTTGCAAAGCAAAACAGAGATCTCCAGGTCGTCCTAAAGTCTATCCAAGAAGAACAAAAGAAGACCTTCAGTAACTCAAAACCAATAACTCCATTGAAAATTACAAGATCCGTGGGAATGCAAGTGTTGATGACAGATAAATCATCGCTCATGTTGCGAAAAAAAGTACCGCAAGCACCCAGCGCAGTTCCACCATTGAGCATAATAAAAACAAGGAATCAGAATAATCAAAGTCCTCAAAGGAGTCAAGCTTCATCAAAAGCTCCAACGAATAACGAAAATATTCCAGTTCCAAGGTTGATACCGGCGAGCAACAATACAGCGAAGAACAATCCTAAACCAACTAGTCCCCCGAGTTCCAGTAAAGCCTCCGTTAGTCCTATGAACGGCTTACGCAGCAATACCGCCCAGAAAATCCCCGAAAAACGAACACTATCTAAAGATACGTCCGTAACGGTAGACCTGACTGATGACGAGCCACCCAATAAGGTTGTCGCTCGTAATCCACAACCGCCTGTACGCCTTGTTTCACCGCAAACTCTCATGGGCCCGCAAAGATCACATTTTGGTCAGGGGATAGCCAATAGCCATCGGAAAGTGTTCATTCCCATTAGTGGTCCTGGTCCGAACGGTCAAGCGAGGAGTACTCAAGCTGTTCTGATTAAACCACACCCGCCCGGTCAGTATACCCTCAAAACATTTAAAATTATTAATGAATCAATGTATTTTAAAATATAAATTAATTTTTTTATTGTTCCTTTAGGTATGCAAAGACCTAGAACCGCGGCACCTAATATCGGCAGGGCTCAAAATCAAATTAAAACGAACAAACCTAATCAGGTGCACAGGCACCCGGCACCCATGCCCGAGATTATGAAGCAGTACCATCCACCTAACTGGAAAGCGCTCCCGCCCGCACCCGATTTGAAACTTTCCAAAGTAGAAAACGGTATAGTGATATCCTGGAAAATCAATGGATACCAGGAAGATAGTTACGAAGAAATAGCCAGCTATCAACTGTACGCTTACCAAGAGACGTCGGCGCCGCCTAGCACCGCCTTGTGGAAAAAAATTGGCGACGTGAAGGCTCTGCCTCTGCCCATGGCGTGCACTCTCACGCAGTTCACGGCAGGCTACAGCTATTATTTCGCGGTTAGGGCAGTAGACGTAAAATCCCGCCTCGGACCCTTCAGCGAACCCGGAAGCATATTACTACCCAACAAAATTTAAAGACTGACTTAACGTGCTATGCTCAATGGCATAAATAATAATAATGGTGAAACTCGAACCAATGTGATTCTTTCTCTTTTAAGTTGCTATTTATTGTATATTGTATGTTAAAGTTATTATAATTTTGTGCTGTTGTAAATTGTGAGTTGTAGGTATTATTATTAGTATAGGTAAAATTTATAATTCTTATCTCTTATTAATGCACCGATATGTGTAGGAGGTTATAAAAATTGCGTGCGTGTTTCAATTCTGTAAAGGCTTCCAAAATCGCGAATCTAACGATACGTTTTTATAATATCTCTCGATCTGTGGTGTATTTGATATGAAGAATAAAATTCTGACACTTAAATGCGTCCAGTGTATGGCAGTGAAATAAGAATCCCTAATATTGCATTGAATCCCTAATATGCATTGACTACTATTTAATGCAAATTCACGAAGAAAAAAAGAATTAAACATGAAAAACATTCTACATTTTTGACGTTTAGAAAATACTTTGATGCAGCCGTTGCAGGTAAGGGTTAAGCATGTGTAACTAGATAATGTTTAACGATTCCTTATAATTAAAATTCAAATCCTGTTATCGCGCGTACCATGTGGAAACTGTAAAATAAATTTACCCAAAACATTCAAGTGTTATTACGATATTGAAAACATTTTCAAAAACAAATTTTGTTTTATTTTCCATGATTCAGCATAATAAGCATTATTACATTATTACATCGTTAAATTAGAAATAACAGCAATAAATACTGTCGAATAGTGTACTTTTTACTTTTAATTGTTGTGATTAATTATTTAATGACATTCATTCAGTTGCCTGGTTTATTTATCTAGAGTACATTTAATTTCAGGGTACCGGTTTATCGGAACCAACAAACTTTAAAAGTTTTTTCCCACATGTAATGCTTAAATAAAAGAATGAAAATGAAAAACGATACAAAAAATAATTATTTTTTAATGTATCCATAACGTAGTATCTATTTAGTCTGGTACACGGTGAATTTGGGATCTTAATTACAGGTTCTCTTTAGTGTCAATTAGGGCGTGATTGGTTAAATTTGAGAAAATCTATAAAGCAAAAAAAAAATTTTTTTTCAAGGCTCTTATAAATTGTCTATGTTCTACCTACTTGCAATTTAATTTAGCAGTAGTAACACCAGACAACTTTATCTGTATTTTTTTTTAAAGTAACAACCCAAAAATAATCCTAGAAACTCATTAATATTTAGATATCTTGCTTAGCTGCAAAAATCTTTTAAAAGTTACTAACGTGTGTCAGTGGTTTCGTTTGCTATACCTCCCGGAATGCTTATGTATCACGTTAATGATATTAACAATAATAGATGTCGCAAATAATTATGGTTATGAAGCTTAGAAACGTATTAGAATGTCAATTTAACCACATTATAGTTCCTAAGCAAAGCCGAGATGAGAAGAGCTCAAATAAATGTAATTTGGCGAATAATGTACCGGCAAACGTAGGGAAGCTGATCCAACTCCATACAAAGAGTTAACTTTTACGACGTCTATGATAGATAGATAGCATGTACTAGTATTGCGTGAATGGGTCAGTTCAGACTATTATGAGCATAATATGCATAAGACTTCTGATATGAAAATATAACAACGATAACTGAGAAGAATTTGTCCAGATAGAAAATTGAAACAAGTTTTTGGTATCGTTTGCTTTCTAAATATTTTAGAGGAGCTATTTAATCCAAATGATTTCTCAAATATCATAGCGGAATCCAGAGTGTGACAAAGGACTTTAGTTAGTGGCCAGTGGCGGAGTAGGCGGAGGATCTGTCAGATATCAGTGTTGCAAGTATTATACTACAAACTTACTTTAGGTAATTACTGAAAGGAGTCGTAAGACTGGATTGATAAAATGAAAATGTATTGTGTATGTGATTTTCAAATAAAAAGAACTGAAAACCAAAAACCCACCATAAACCTTGTGGTGCTTAACAATACGCTTAGGTCTCATAACTCACATATAAAAATCAAATTCAGATGTGATATTATGTATACCTTGTCACTTATAACAAGAAAGAAGAACAATAGACTTGAAAACATATGGCAGCTTACGTGGTTTACCACAAAAGTTAGATTACATTATGATTTAATTTTGAATGATTTTTCATTTTAATTGGCTTAAGAAAGAAGGTGGTTCTTTGTTCACCTTTTTCATTTTTATCGATTTTTTGGATTGTGGATCATATGTGGTCATTTGTGGATTGATGTTATATTTGTTTGAAAAAAATCTTCAACTTAAAGTTGATCTTCAATATTTTTTATTATTCATAAGCTCAGTCTTGTTTAAACGTTCTGCGAGTAGTCATAGTATGAGAGAAGTAAACACATCAGTACGCGCAAATTTGGTGAAGTAGTATATTATTATCAGGCGGTATTGTACAACTTACTTATATTTATTTATATTACTTATATTTACTGTGGATATTTATTGTTCAAAAAATTTATCTTTATATATTTATATATAAATTTATATTTATAAATAATATAATTAATATATATTTTATTATTATTTTAACATCACGCTTTCCTATAAATTGAATTATAATAAATTTTCAATCACAATGTGACTGCCATTAACCTAACTTAAGACATGAAATCGTTGCCTCAATTATATTGTCAGAAATATCCACGGAAATAGGTAGGATGTAGGTTAGTACCTATCCACAGGTTCATAGAGTATGCCACTAAAGAAGAGCTGGCCATCGCTGTGGGCTGGTATAGCATTCTAAGAACAGTACTGTTCCTTCTTCGGTGAGTCCCTAAGTCAGTGTTTACAACAATTACAGGAATAGATAGAGTGGTATTATTTTAAGCTGATACTACAGATCTATGGAACAGTGTCCTCTCGTTTTAATATAATAAACGTTTAGCGCAAGAAAGAATTGGTGTTTCCACGCATTAATTTGTTTCATAAGACTACCGTTTCATTTTCTATTTCTGTGTTGTTAACAAACTGGCGCTCGTGAGAAGGAAAACTCTTTATGAATCCAGCAATTTATTCCGAAGCTCGGAAATTTTATAATAGTGCTTAGCATCATTGAACTCTCNTGTCCTCTCGTTTTAATATAATAAACGTTTAGCGCAAGAAAGAATTGGTGTTTCCACGCATTAATTTGTTTCATAAGACTACCGTTTCATTTTCTATTTCTGTGTTGTTAACAAACTGGCGCTCGTGAGAAGGAAAACTCTTTATGAATCCAGCAATTTATTCCGAAGCTCGGAAATTTTATAATAGTGCTTAGCATCACTGAACTGTCGCTGACATCTCTTTAGTCTGACAGTTGCCTTTTTATTTCGCCGTTGGCTGGCATTAACAAAAAGATTTAGATTGTCTATCTTTTTAGTTGTCACTTGTCACTTCTTGTCAGTTTTCGACGGACTCGCGCAAAATTGGTTGTGCGTTCAAAATCTATGCTGATAATGAGTTATGTGGCTTAAAAAAACGTAAAATAGCTTCACGCATTCATGTTTTAAATGTACTGCTTGCTACTGGTATCTCTTACCTTTTGAAATAGGTTTTTATATCTGTATACGCGTTAATTGAAATGGTGTTGTTGACGTATTTCGTAAGCTAGATTTCATTTGCGGTGTTATTTGAGTATGTGCGGTTAATACGGAATTATCAACTTAATTCAGATATCGTGTGATAAGTGTTTTTACAATTAAAAAAGTTGTCATTATTGATACGAGTCCCAAGTGAACAACGTGAATTTTGTGTGTGAAATAATTCGTTCGTGTATTGTGTTATTGTGTTTTTTACTCTGTGAGAGCCATGCTGATTATCGGTTTGCACCATAACACTCAGGTCCACTCGGTAATGAATTATTTATCAAACAACCTTATTCTTGGCATAATGACATACCTTTGCCTGTTGGTTTTTCTTATCAACTTACAAAACTAACATTGATAAATGAAATTTAGATAACGTTCTGATGAGCCATAATAAAGTAATTACGAGTTGGTAGTTTTTTTTGCAATAAAACAATGAAATCTTTTTACTAAGTTCACTTTCAAAACTATGTTATTCTGCAAAAATGTACCAATTTGGTAAAATTGTAAAGAAACCAGTTCAATAAGTTTACCTAAGATTTATATCAGCAATAGGTCCAGTATAGATAATTGCAATTTAGAACTCATGTCTCAAAGTGGGTAATGGTGTTTATGTTTTTGATGTCTATGGGCTCCAGAGGCCACTTAATATCAAGTGAGCTCTGTGTTAGTCCACCTTTATAAGGTCCTAAAACTGACCATAAAGAATTTGATCCATCTGAACTAAAGGATTGTAATTGGGATAAATAAGAGGTTAAATCATAAAAATAGTTTTAATCAGGAGGGTATAGCTCTGCCTTTGAAAGCAAACAATTTATGTTGGTTGATAGTTTTTGATACTACAGATATGGTAATTAGGACAGGTGTTTTTTTATATTTATTATTGTAAGAATTTATCCCAACTGTTTACATATATCTGAGTAAATAAATAGCTTAAAAAACACATGAAGACAGTCAAATGAAAGTTTTCAATCACTTTGTTTCTGAAATTTAGTTCGATGTTAGTCAATAAGAACAAAGTACTAAGAGAAAGAAATAAAATCATTTGAGATTCAGAAATTAAGACTTGCACTAAAATGTTTCAATGCTAACTTGGAAATTGATAAGCGGTTGTTTTTATACAATTTAAAATATCTAAATTTCACATTTATTCATTTGATAATTTCTCATTATCTAAATACTGAACTTTTTAGACTTAGAACATTGGAGAGACTAAGGTTTAATTTGTAAAATTATCTGTGTCTAAGTTTTATCTTAATTTTTAAGGTATTGTATTTGATTTGGTACTCTTCACTACAGGAGGTTCCTATGTTTCTAACTGTGGAATACAAAGTAGAAATATATGTAATAGTGTCTAAAATATGAGAGTACCTTAGTAGTAGATTAGTTTTTTAGTTTAGTACAGTAGGTTTTTTAACTCTGTAAAATTATACTATAGAATAACATGATTTTCAAATATATTGATTGATTGTAACTAATCTGAGCCAATTATTACATAAAATCTTGTCTATTTAACAATGCACTCTAATATTGGTTAAATTACTTAAATGTTTTATAGTTTGATTTTCTTCCCTTCTAGAACATATAGGAATGGTAAAGGGTGATTTTCTTCACATAATGGTCTTAAAGCTGTTCTGTCTACTAAGGCTTTGGAGTAATCCAATCTTTATTAAGAATAGAAAGATTTGTTTCTTCTTCTCGATTTTGAATTTAAAGAAATGTAAATATAAATATCTGTATTAATTATTCAAAATTTATTATCTCAGGATTTTCTTATTAATAGCAGACAATATTAGAATTGGTACTTAATTAATTGTTCTAGAAATTTCATAACGAAGGGTATTCTACAAAAGTCTCATGTACAAAATTTCTTTTTCGGCATTGATTGTGTCCTATTTTGGCCACAAAGTATTGTAATTAGATTGAACCACCTGATTGACCACCCTTGTATAGTATTACCAAAGCACTAAGAGAAATATCGAGGCCTCAGTACTATTTTATGATGGACAGCAGCTCTCGGTGGTACCAATATCATTGAATTATCAATAGTGCCTTACATTTACACTGAGCATATGTCTAAAAACATTCTAATCTACATCTTTAAGTACCTCTCAGAGTACCTATGTAATGCATTTTGAATGTCATTATTAACATTTACAAATAAAAATGTCACTTCAAGATATCTTATCATAAAGCATTAACATTTTTATTATTATTTCAAGTTCAAGTCTGACTTACACAGACTCGCAAGTAATTTAATGAAGTTGTAACTGTTCAATTTAAAATGGGAGTAGTTGTGAATAGGCTGTGTATACTACATACTTAATTGTCTGTCAGAATCGTCTTTGGATGATAATACAAAAGAAATAATGACACATCCATCTTCCAATCTGTGATTTGATGTATGAAAAATACGAATGATACTGTCAAGGTCAGAGTTTTTTTAAATGTTTAACAAATCTCATTTTAGGTAGTTACTGGAGTTGCCTACATATTGCCAATATCCTCATGATGGTCTAAGTTTTGGCAACATTTTTATGATCGGTCGCCTGTCTGACGGCAACTCTCCTTGGGAACGCTTTCGTTGACCTTGGGCCTGGGTTGTATTGGCTTTCGCTCTTAGTCATCTTCTACGACACCCATGATCTAAGTTTCAGTTGAGAGTATTCTTAGGCGCCCACCACACGCATGAGGCTGTTAAGAGAGTTTCAACTATGTGGGAATGTGGGAGGCTTTAGAGGAAGAGGTAGATCTACGAAAAAATAGATACAGCTACCTTTTCCATCGAAAATACATTACTATTTCACAGTCTCGACTTCTGCGAGTGCACCATCTCGCAGAAGGAGGCGGCGGGGCGGGTGAGGCAAAGCTCTCCTCACTACGCAGAAATCCGCCGCCGCCGGGCAGGGGGTCGGGACCGGGGTCCCATCCCGCCGGTCCGGCGTCTGGGGGACGGCGGGACAGATGTAATATGCTCTGCGTAAACCCTGTCCCCCCGTCTCAATAACTCCGACTGGGCTCCGGCCCGGTCCGGGGTAGGACGCCGGCTGTGAGCAGCAGGAGTTTTTAGTGAAGTTCAACTCTCACATACACCACCCGCTGCGCGGAGGGGGATCCGGCGATTTTTTCCTGTGGAAAAAAAATATGACTATTTCACAGTACAAATAGGCAGGTTGGTGGTTCTTACCAGTGCAGATTCACAAGACGCCCTACGACCATTAGCAGTGAATGTTTGATTTTTTCTACTTTCATGGTGGAAATAATTGAAGCTTAAAATTTTTACTAGATACGTTTCATGAATACACCACCTTGCTATTGCGAAGAAAAAAAAATTCTAATTTCACTGTATAACTTAATTTTTTTTTTCATTCCGACGTCGACAACCTCATTTACTGCATGTTATAAAGACTCATACATTCATATTTCTAAGCACGCTACATCTTATCATTACTAACCGTGCTATCAATTTAGACGTACAATTTCCATTGTTCCAGTTAGTCTGCAAAATATTAAAGTTTACCGATTTGTCCCATGTCCGTGTCCGGAGAAAACGAGATTAGTTTGATAAGCTAAAGAGGAAATGATTGTCGTATGTTTAATTTACGTTCAAAATGAAGCAAACAGGATTTGAATTATCTAAACCCACCCTGCTTATGAAAGTCACCGTTCGGCGTTCGTCTAGAACTTTCACTTGTTTCTGTTGCCCCCCTGTCACTTTCTCTGAACTAAACTATCGGAGTTCAGTTTTAAACAACAAGCCGACTTCGTAGAAGTCGTGGCGTAGTGATTATCGATATACCCACATTCCGCGTGCTTGAATCGTCGATGAAAATTTCCGACACCGTCTTTCTAGAAACATCCCTAATATGTGACGCGTAGATAGGATTTGGTCTTTGCCTATGAATTTGCTGTTTTACAGTAATGGCCATTTGAAAAGTATTTTTTACGAATTTTATTTCAAAAATATGGCAGAAATAGGTAGGGCGGTGGTACCTACCCGCGCGGACTCACAAGTGGTCCTACCACCAGTAAACAAAAGTACCTTGTATTTACTTCAGACGTTGTGACTCTTAGTCGACATGCTTGAGACTAGATTTACAGTTTAATCGATAGAGCTTTTCAATACTTCACAGTTTTCATGGTCACGTATGTGTAACAGTCGTCCTTCGTTCGAGATTAAACTGTGAAATAGTAATGTATGTAAATACTAATTGGATATTAAAGTTTAGATTTTTGTGACTGTAGCATTCGGTATTTTCTTGGTCGTATGACCTCTTGTGACCTGCACCTACACTACGTGATATGAAACTGAACTGAAACTTCGGGTTCGAAGGTGGGACAATCCTTAAACTAAAAAATAGAGATTTCGATCTTATGTCGGAAGGAGGACGGCGGAATTTATGTTGTCGTGTGTATCGGTTCTAGTGACGACTAACACCACCGTGTGTTCGTTCACTTATCTACGCAATAAATAAATAAATAAATAAATAATAACGCGCTCTCATAAACTAGGTTAATTTCTCATCAATATTCGTGAACAGCGGCTTGAATCCTTTTATGGATACAAAATGTAATGCAAACACATACCGAGCGCATTTTTGGGATATCTAAGCGCCAATAAAACTAACTGTACCGATATGTATACAACGGTTCTATGTGTTTCACGTTTGGCCGAACGAGTTCGCAGATCAACTGGTGTTCATTGGTCACGACCCGTATACACGTTTTTTTTACCTATGCTGATAGCCTCGAGAGGCTATATCAGCGTTACCCTAGCGCGTAAGTGAGCTCTCGGGGCTCAAACCGGAGGTGTGGCTAACATTAACCCTAGCAAGAGCAGTGCTTCGCTGAATCTACCACCGGATCGGAAACGCAACCCGCTAAGAGGATCCGGCGAGCAGCTCAGTGGGCTGTGTCTATAGTAAGTCGAGGTTGCTGGTGGTAGGACGTTTTGTGAGTAGGTACCACCACTCTGCCTATTTCTACCGTGAGGGTAGTAATGCATTACGGCTTAAAGGGTAGGGCAGCCGGTTTTACTGTTAAAAGTGAGACCTTACAACTCATTTCTCAAGGTGGGTTGGCGGCATTTACGTTGTAGATGTTTATGGGCTCTGGTAATCACTTAACATCAGGTGGGCCGTGAGCTCGTCCAACCATCTAAGCAATAAAAATAAAGGTTATTGGGACCTCAAATCTGGATCTTATCATTTAATCTGATAAACATGCATACGTACGAATAAATACGTTTTTATATCTTGTCAGATG